GTACAGTGTTGTTCACACTAGTGTGTATGTGAGTGGTTGTTGTTGTGTGTACAGTGTTGTGTTCACACTAGTGTGTATGTGAGTGGTGTTGTTGTGTGTACAGTGTTGTTCACACTAGTGTGTATGTGAGTGGTGTTGTTGTGTGTACAGTGTTGGTTCACACTAGTGTGTATGTGAGTGGTGTTTTGTGTACAGTGTTGTTCACACTAGTGTGTATGTGAGTGGTGTTGTTGTGTGTACAGTGTTGTTCACACTAGTGTGTATGTGAGTGGTGTTGTGTGTGTACAGTGTTGTTCACACTAGTGTGTATGTGAGTGGTGTTGTTGTGTGTACAGTGTTGGTTCACACTAGTGTGTATGTGAGTGGTGTTTGTGTGTACAGTGTTGTTCACACTAGTGTGTATGTGAGTGGTGTTGTGTGTACAGTGTTGGTTCACACTAGTGTGTATGTGAGTGGTGTTGTGTGAACACTCATATTCCACTGAGTCACTGTGTCCTTTAGTCCAACACAAACTGAACCACATCAGACACAAGAAAAGAACTGTTTTTCTCACACACATTAGTTTATGTAAATGAGTCATGTGGTTTTAAGTTTCATTTCTGTAAAACATAAACAAAAGTTCACAAATCTGATAAAGAAGAAACACAGAAACGACGAGTCGAACTCAAATCTTTTCCAGTAAATTTCAGTGTAAAATAACCTGAATGTTTTATTTTTGTTGTTTTCAGGTTGAGCCGTTCACTCCCAAAGAGAAAACAAATGTGTGTAAAGAGGAAGAATCTTCTGACCAACATCAACATCATCACTGAGCGAGACTTAGAAGTTTTCAAGAAAATAGTTTTTAAAATGACGTCTTTTTTTTAAGAATTGTAACGTCACATATTTAAATCACCAGGTTCCCTTTTACTGTTTTAAAAAATCTATATTCACCAGAAACAACGTATGAACATGTTTTATAAGTTTCACATTTGTTATTGTGGCTCTGAACCCCCCCCCCCCCCCCCCCCCCCCCCCCGTTTGCTCTCTGCTCTAAGTCACTCCCCCTTCAGAGCATCATCACAGCACAATCAGCGTTTGTCCCACTAATGAAACTCCTGCACTGCATCAGGTTTGTGGAGTCGCCGTGTTCAGTTTTGTGTCACGTTTTTGTGTTTTTACAGAGAATTGTCGAGTGGGAGCATGTGGGCGGAGCCTCGTACCCCTGAGAGATCTCTAGATGACTCAAACATGCACGGACGGCTCTCAAACCTCTTCATGCAGGTTTTTGTTGAAGGAACAATGTTAGAACACGAGAGGAAACTCCAAAAAAATCAAGTTTGCATGATTCTCCGTCTTTAACCGAGTCAGGTCCAGTGTCTTTCCCGTTTTCCTCTGTCCGTGTGAGATTTATGGCACCAAATAAAAGTCTGTGAAATGTAAACTCAGTGTTCAAGGTCCTTCGTTGACACAGTAAAATACACGGGACTCGTTTTGGTTCAGTTCAGTCGGACTCTTCGTCTCTCGAGGTTCAAATGTGCACTTGTGTGAAATGATCCTGATGTGAAAATATAAAAAATAAAATAAAAAATAAATCCCTCCCCGATGAATATGGCACTAGACGACGCTCCCACGTGATCCGCTCAAGTCCAGGGGGCGCTGTTTTCTGTTCTGAGCTACGGTCCGTGCTGCGTTCGAGGTCTGGTCCGTGTTTTTTCCTCTCAGGTCCGTGCTGCGTTCGAGGTCCGGTCGGTGTTTTCTGCTCAGGTCCGTGTTGCGTTCGAGGTCCGGTCCGTGTTTTGCTCTCAGGTCCGTGTTGCGTTCGAGGTCCAGTCCGTGTTTTGCTCTCAGGTCCGTGTTGCGTTCGAGGTCCAGTCCGTGTTTTTTCCGCTCAGGTCCGTGTTGCGTTCGAGGTCCGGTTGGTGTTTTCTGCTCAGGTCCGTGTTGCGTTCGAGGTCCGGTCCGTGTTTTGCTCTCAGGTCCGTGTTGCGTTCGAGGTCCGGTCCGTGTTTTTTCCGCTCAGGTCCGTGTTGCGTTCGAGGTCCGGTTGGTGTTTTCTGCTCAGGTCCGTGTTGCGTTCGAGGTCCGGTCCGTGTTTTGCCTCTCAGGTCCGTGTTGCGTTCGAGGTCCGGTCCGTGTTTTTTCCTCTCAGGTCCGTGTTAGTGTCCGTCGTCCGTGTTTTTTCCGCTCAGGTCCGTGTTGCGTTCGAGGTCCGGTCCGTGTTTTCCTCTCAGGTCCGTGTTGCGTTCGAGGTCTCTTTTCTTCGTTGTGTTTCGTGTTTTGTTCCCACAGCCCAGTGATTTTACGTTTGTTCGGAAATTAATTTTTTTTTCAGAATTCCCACATTTTAGGGACATTTTTACATGTTGGTGTTAGAGGAAATTCTAAGTCTGTGTGTCGTTCGTTCATTTGTTTTTCAAAATAAAACCAAAAATAAGAAAATTAAAAAAAACAATGATTTTCTTCATTATTTGTCTCCAAAACCAAAATGAAAAAAACAGAAAATGATTCGATTTTTCAGTTTTTGATTTTGTGTTTAAATGAAAAATGAAAAAACAGATAACGGACTAAACCAGGACTAAACCAGGACTAAACCAGGACTAAACCAGGACTAAACCAGGACTAAACCAGACTAAACCAGGACTAAACCAGGACTAAACCAGGACTAAACCAGGACTAAACCGTTTTCAGTCCTGGTCTGGTCCTGGTCTCAGTCTTGGTCTAAGTCCCGGTCTCAGTCCCACTTTGGTTCTGGTCTGGTCCTGGTCTGGTCCCGGTCTCAGTCCTGGTCTGGTCCTGGTCTCAGTCTTGGTCTGGTCCTGGTCTCAGTCTTGGTCTAAGTCCTGGTCTCAGTCCTGGTCTGGTCCTGGTCTCAGTCTTGGTCTGGTTCAGGTCTGGTCCTGGTCTGGTCCTGGTCTCAGTCTTGGTCTAAGTCCTGGTCTCAGTCTTGGTCTAAGTCCTGGTCTCAGTCTTGGTCTAAGTCCTGGTCTCAGTCCTGGTCTGGTCCTGGTCTCAGTCTTGGTCTGGTTCAGGTCTGGTCCTGGTCTGGTCCTGGTCTCAGTCTTGGTCTAAGTCCTGGTCTCAGTCTTGGTCTAAGTCCTGGTCTCAGTCCTGGTCCTGGTCCTGGTCCTGGTCTCAGTCTTGGTCTAAGTCCTGGTCTCAGTCCCGGTCTCAGTCTTGGTCTGGTCCTGGTCTCTGGTCTTGGTCTCTGTCTTGGTCTAAGTCCTGGTCTCAGTCCCGGTCTCAGTCTTGGTCTGGTCCTGGTCTCAGTCCTGGTCTGGTCCTGGTCTCAGTCTTGGTCTGGTCCTGGTCTCAGTCTTGGTCTGGTCCTGGTCTCAGTCTTGGTCTAAGTCCTGGTCTCAGTCCTGGTCTGGTCCTGGTCTCAGTCTTGGTCTAAGTCCTGGTCTCAGTCTTGGTCTAAGTCCTGGTCTCAGTCCTGGTTTGGTTCAGGTCTGGACCTGGACCTGGTTCGACATGTGGATTTTTCTGTTGTGTTTTTGTTCGAGTTTTGGTTCAGTTTAAAAGTCGTTGTTTCGCAAAGTCTCGAGTCTTTGACCTCAAGTCCGAGTCAAGTCCCAAGTCAAATACAGACGAGTCCAAGTCGAGTCTCGAGTCTCTGACCCATGAGTCCAAGTCAAGTCCAAGTCGTCTGCTTTGAGCTTCAAGTCATTTCAAGCTTAGATTTTTGCAGATTGTATGAATTTTAACTAAATTGTTTTAAAAAGTCATTAGAAAAATTAAACAGCAAAAAGTGAAGAGTTAAAATCGACTCTGACAGAATCAGTTTGAACATTTCTCAGAGTTTATCTGAGTCAATCTGTTCTCGAGTTAATTTAACACTTTTGGAAATGTTCATTAAGTAAAACTGGACCAAAGTTCCTGTTTAACCCCAAATCCAGAGTTATTTGAAAGTTTTGAGGGTAAACGAGAGGAGTTTACGAGTTTTATTTTGACACTTTATTTGAGATAAATTAAAATGAAATTATGAACAAAACTGGTTCAGACTGGTTCTACTCTGGACGGAGTTTGAAGACAAATTAACACGAAGAGAAGCTGAATTAACACTGAGAGACAAAAGTGGAACGAAGTCCAAGTCTCGTGATACGATATCGTCACGTCTGAAGCTCACGATACGATATTTATTCTGATATTTTGTGGAGACTGTGTGACTTTTTCCTCTTCAAATGCCTCAACAAGATTTAATCCAAAGAACTAAGAGTTAAAAGTGTTAGAACTGTTGTTTCTTCTTATCGTCTGCACTGAAATGGAGCAAAGCATCATGGACCCAAACAGAAGTAAACAACAAGACCAAAAACTCAAGTGAATTCATCTGATATAAAAATGTATTGAACAGATACATATGTACTCGAGTTTATCAAACTGTTGACCTTTTTTCTGGACCATTTTTGGTTCTAAAGTTCCATCTGTTTTAAACAGACCATGAATGAAACATGGAACAAAAATTATTTCCCAAATTTCAAAGACCCAAAAATCATGTAAATAAATGTTTGTATTTCATCATATCTTGTGTTATTCCATCTTTGAACTGTTGATGAAGGGACAGGATTTAAAATATATATAAAAGTATTTAAAATGATAAAAATGTTCTTGGAAGGACTGACATATTTTATAGAAATAGTTTCCTTTCATTTTGAAGTAATATTAAAGTTTTCAGAAGAAAAAAGTGACAAATGATGTAAAATCCTGCACCTTCTACTTGTTTGTACAATTTTCCCTCCGTTACTTTTCCCTCCGTTACCATGAACTTTCTTAATAAAAAATCTCATGAGTCAAAAAGTCAGAGGTTTTTCAACCTAATCTTGTACCATATGGTAGAAAACTATATGAAGCAAATATTCAAACCAGTTTGTTAAGGATATGGAAGTGAGAACCAAGAGTTATCACTGTTTGGATTTATTGACCAAAAAGTGCTGCATATTTCATTCCCTCCGTTACCGAACATGAGTTTTTTAATTTTTTGTCTTGAACTTGAAAGAATCTCACAGGTTTAACTTGACCCTGTTGGAGTGTAACTCTTTCCTACATTCTGATACTTTACTTATTTCAATAGTTCCTCTAGTTTCTGAATAAGAGACATTTGAATGTCAAAAATCTGACCCTGTTTCCTCCGTTAACACTTGACCAGACTCACTGGTTTATGTAGTTCTTTGTTCTTTGTCTTTTTAACTGTCGCTGCACCAAAACTCTTCATTTAAACAAAGAGACTTGTGTGATTCGATATTTTGTGATGATCCACGATGTTATTGTGAGACTTTGACGATACGATATCACCAGATTTCGATTATTGTTACATCCTTATAAAGAGAAGTTGAATTAACACTAGAGGAAGTTGAATTCACTTCAGCCGCATCAACTCTGACAAATAACCTCAACTCCAACCCCCGTTTAACTTTCAAAGAGTTAAAATAAAACTTTCTGAGTTAAAAAAAACAACAACAATAACAATATTTTACCCTGACATTTTAACCCTCCAGTTTTTGCTGTTTATTTTTTTCCTTTTTAAACTAAATTTAGTGTGAGTCATTACAGTCAGAACAGAAAGAATTCAGAGTTAAAAGTGTTAAATAAATAAATAAATAAATATTTTGTCACGTGATTCATGAAGTGTGAGTAAACTGGGCGGTGGGAACGGATTTGCTCCTTCGTGTAGTTCGAGCTCCGGTCCCAATCCGCGCCGGGTTCGTGATCCGTTTCGCGTTTTCCTTCCCTCCTCCTGCACCTTGAGTTTTATCGGAGCGCGTTCGTTTTCTCCGTCTTCGCTCCGTGTCGCGTTTTTGTGTTTTGTTTTGGTTAAAGTCCGTTCCGTGTTGTCCGTGTTTTGTTTTGTGTGTGTACGTATGCGCGTGTGTGAATCCGGTCCGTCTTTCCGTGTTTTCCTGGCTCCTCACATGACGCTGCACTTCCCCTTGAGTTTGTCGGCGCGCGTCTGCTTCCCGCCGCGTTTGCCGTCGATGCTCAGGGACATGTCGCGCTTCTTCTCCAGCGACAGCAGCTCCTGGAACAGTTCGGTGACGTTGTGGTTGGTTTTGGCCGACGTTTCCATGAAGGCGCATTTCCACTGTTTGGCCTGAGCCTCGCCCTGGACCTGCTCCACCTCCCGCTGGGAAATCTCGTCGCTCTTGTTCCCGACGAGCATGATCGGGATGGACTCCACGCTGCCTTTGATCGACACAATCTGAGGAAGAGAAAACGAAAACCACGACGAGAACACAGAGACACGAAAAAGTACGGTTAAAAAAACAACAAAAAAAACACTGATGGTTTTAAAGGTCGTATGGAAGATTTTTTTCTTTTGTTTCAAATTGTCAGTGAAAGTTTAAAATACCATTACAGAAACACGGCAACCTTGTAATTATGATGACTAAAAAAAAAAAGAATGAAAATCTATCAACTGTGAACGTGTTGAGGCCAAATAAACATCAGCCAATAGACAACGAGACTACCTCTTTTTCTATTGGCTGTTGGGTCGTCAATCAAACTCCCTACGTTTCTAGTGTAAGTGACTCGTCGGCGCTGGGATTTCGTGGTTTATGCGGCGGTTCTTAGAGGCTTTTTCAAACTGTCGCTTCCTCACAGTTCGCACAGAGTTTGTCGAGACGGCGGACGAGAATCCACGACCGGTTCTCCGCAAAAAGAAAGTCGGTTTTTGAGGTCGCTGAAAGAAGAAGAGAAGAAGGGGAAAAGGAGCGAAGACAAACCGAGGTGATTCTTGGAGATGCGTCCAGCGATGGCGCGAACGAAGCGGACGAAGGGTCTAAAAACTAAAGACACGTCAGTCGCTGAATTATTTCTAGACAGGAAACTTCAACGGTAATTTTGAACGCGAACTTAATGTAAACAAACGTGATTCTAGAGTAAAAAGGCGGGAGGAGGAGGTGTTTCTACTGAGGCTGTGGAGGAGGAAGGTGGAGTCACAACATTTGAAAAAGAACTGTCGCTGTATTTCTTTTCCCTTAAAAAATCCTCTATACGACCTTTAAGTCTGAATGAAACAGTTTGGAATTTGGAATCTGGTCTCAATCCGTGTGTCGTTTGTTTATTTGTTTTTCAAAATAAAAGCAAAAATAAGAAAATGGAAAAAAAACAAAAAAACAACAACAACGATTTTCTTCATTATTTGTCTCCAAAACCAAAAAAACCAAAAAAAAACAAAAAAAAAAACAGATAATGATTCGTTTTTTTCAGTTTTTGATTTTGGGTTTAAATGAAAAATGGAAAAAACGGAGAACGGACTAAACCAGGACTAAACCAGGACTAAAACAGGACTAAACCAGGACTAAAACAGGACTAAAACAGGACTAAAACAGGACTGACCCGTTTTCAGTCCTGGTCTGGTCCCAGTCTCAGTCCTGGTCTAGTCCTACTCTGGTCCTGGCCTCAGTCCCAGTTTCAGTCCTGGCCCTGTTCCCAGTCTTAGTCCTGGTCTGGTTGGACCTGGCTTAATCCGTTAGTGTTTTTTTTTTCATTTTTCATTTAAACACAAAATTGAAAACTGAAAAAAAAAATCATTATCTGTTTTTCATTTTGGTTTTGGAGACAAATAATGAAGAAAATTGTTGTGTTTTTGTTTCCTTTTTTGGTTTTATTTTGAAAAACAAATGAACAAATGACACACAGATCCTGGTCTCTGGTCTCTGGTCTCTGGTCTCTGGTCTCTGGTCTGGTCTGGTCTCTGGTCTCTGGTCTCTGGTCTGGTCTGGTCTTGGTCTCGGTCGGGTTTTACCTGCTGGTAAATGGGTTTGAGCTCCTCCAGACTCTGGCGACTGGTGATGGAATAAACCAGGACGAAGGCGTGACCTTTGGAGATGGACAAACGCTGCATCGCCGGAAACTGATGACTCCCCGTCGTGTCGGTGATTTGAAGAGTGCACACGCTCTTATCACAACTGATCACCTGCAGGGACAAACACAACTGAACACCTGCAGGACACTGAACACTGCAGGAGAGTGCACACGCTCTTATCACAACTGATCACCTGCAGGGACAAACACAACTGAACACCTGCAGGACACTGAACACCTGCAGGAGAGTGCACACGCTCTTATCACAACTGATCACCTGCAGGGACAAACACAACTCAACACCTGCAGGACACTGAACACCTGCAGGAGAGTGCACACGCTCTTATCACAACTGATCACCTGCAGGGACAAACACAACTCAACACCTGCAGGACACTGAACACCTGCAGGAGAGTGCACACGCTCTTATCACAACTGATCACCTGCAGGGACAAACACAACTGAACACCTGCAGGACACTGAACACCTGCAGGAGAGTGCACACGCTCTTATCACAACTGATCACCTGCAGGGACAAACACAACTCAACACCTGCAGGACACTGAACACCTGCAGGAGAGTGCACACGCTCTTATCACAACTGATCACCTGCAGGGACAAACACAACTGAACACCTGCAGGACACTGAACACCTGCAGGAGAGTGCACACGCTCTTATCACAACTGATCACCTGCAGGGACAAACACAACTGAACACCTGCAGGAGACTGAACACCTGCAGGAGACTGAACACCTGCAGGAGAGTGCACACGCTCTTATCACAACTGATCACCTGCAAGGACACAAACACACTCACCACACCTGCAAGGACAAACACAACTGAACACCTGCAAGGACAAACACAACTCAACACCTGCAAGGACAAACACAACTGAACACCTGCAAGGACAAACACAAATCAACACCTGCAGGAGAGTGCACACGCTCTTATCACAACTGATCACCTGCAAGAACAAACACAACTGAACACCTGCAGGAGAGTGCACACGCTCTTATCACAACTGATCACCTGCAAGGACAAACACAACTGAACACCTGCAGGAACAAACACAACTGATCACCTGCAGGAACAAACACAACTCAACACCTGCAGGAGAGTGCACACGCTCTTATCACAACTGATCACCTGCAGGGACAAACACAACTCAACACCTACAGGACACTGAACACCTGCAGGAGAGTGCACACGCTCTTATCACAACTGACCACCTGCAAGGACAAACACAACTGAACACCTGCAAGGACAAACACAACTCAACACCTGCAAGGACAAACACAACTGATCACCTGCAAGGACAAACACAACTCAACACCTGCAGGAGAGTGCACACGCTCTTATTACAACTGATCACCTGCAGGGACAGAGACAGGACTGAACACCTGCAGGACACTGAACACCTGCAGGAGACTGAACACCTGCAGGAGACTGAACACCTGCAGGAGAGTGCACACGCTCTTATCACAACTGATCACCTGTAGGGACAAACACAACTCAACACCTGCAGGACAAACACAACTCAACACCTGCAAGGACAAACACAACTGAACACCTGCAAGGACAAACACAACTCAACACCTGCAGGACACTGAACACCTGCAGGAGACTGAACACCTGTAGGAAAGTGCACACGCTTTTATTACAACTGATCACCTGCAGGGACAGAGACAGGACTGAACACCTGCAAGAGACTGAACACCTGAAGGAGAGAGAGAGGTGTCACATGCTCTTATCACAACTGATCACCTGCAGGGACAGAGAGACTGAGCGCCTGAAAGGACAGAGACTGAACACCTGCAGGAGAGAGAGGAGAGAGGACTGGACACCTGAAGGGACAGAGAGGACAGAAGGAGAGAGGGGAGACGACTCTCGTGGGGAGAGAGGGAGAGAAAAGTGTGAGGTGCCTGTCTTCTGTGTCCTCCACCATGAGAGAGGGATGAGAGTAGAGGAGAGGAGGGTGGTGTACCTGTCTGTACGTGTCCTCCACCGTGGGGATAGAGGGATGATAGAGGGATGAGTGGAGAGGAGAGGAGAGTGGTGTACCTGTCTGTAGGTGTCCTCCACCGTGGGGATAGGGGGATGATAGAGGGATGAGAGGAGAGGAGGGTGGTGTACCTGTCTGTAGGTGTCCTCCACCGTGGGGATAGAGGGATGATAGAGGGACGAGAGGAGAGGAGAGGAGGGGGGTGTACCTGTCTGTAGGTGTCCTCACCGTGGGGATAGAGGGATGATAGAGGGGATGAGAGGAGAGGAGAGGAGGGGGGTGTACCTGTCTGTAGGTGTCCTCCACCGTGGGGATAGAGGGATGATAGAGGGATGAGAGGAGAGGAGAGGAGGGGGTGTACCTGTCTGTACGTGTCCTCCACCGTGGGGATAGAGGGATGATAGAGGGATGAGAGGAGAGGAGAGGAGGGGGGTGTACCTGTCTGTAGGTGTCCTCCACCGTGGGGATAGAGGGATGATAGAGGGATGAGAGGAGAGGAGAGGAGGGGGGTGTACCTGTCTGTAGGTGTCCTCCACCGTGGGGATAGAGGGATGATAGAGGGATGAGAGGAGAGGAGAGGAGGGGGGTGTACCTGTCTGTAGGTGTCCTCCACCGTGGGGATAGAGGGATGATAGAGGGATGAGAGGAGAGGAGAGGAGGGGGGTGTACCTGTCTGTACGTGTCCTCCACCGTGGGGATGTACGTGTCTCTGAAGGTTCCTTTGACGAAGCGAAGGACCAGAGAACTCTTCCCCACTCCCCCCGCCCCAAACACCACCACACTGTAGTCATTACTCTGCTCGGGCAT